AATCATTCGTTGGTTTGATTATTTCCTTTCCATGAATTGGCCAAATGCGCGTGCATAACGGTCTGAAACGATTCGGATTTGTTCACCTGAAGCGGTTTCTTGGTCAGTAACAACAAATAGAGAACAAAATAGCGCTGGTTTCAGTTGTTTCACTAGTTTACTTTGAACTAGGCAGCACGGCCCAGTGGATAACGAAACGCAAAGCTTAAAGGAGTTGTGTTTAGTACCGGTCCCTGACACTAAACAGCGTTGCGACATAGTGAGAAACGTTTCAATCGGACACTCCTCTCTCTTACAAACCACAAATCACTCAATGATTTTAACTAGTTTTAAATCGGATGAAACAGCCTTAACATTCCAAACACTACTAATGAGGTAAATAGCAGAAACATGAACAAAGTTAGAAGACTAAATGCCCTAACCACCACCCTTACAAACATTTACCATGTAATAGCCTATGAATGTAATAATTTACCATGGTTTGGGCATAAATGTGGAATATTTATATTGAATACTATGTTATAGTCATTCATATTGCATTAGATTTATTAGGGGGGTAGAGGAATAATTAATTGTGTGTATAGTTTTTTTTTACCTGTTTAGGCATTTTTTATACAGTGGTAGTGAGCCATGCATGGTTACAAAGTCTCACTGTCAGGATATTTTAATTTAACCCTATAATAATTATTATAGTAAATTGTGTACACTGTAATGATGAGAATATGAAAACAATGAGATGCCCTGTCAACTCTTCCTTTCTCATTTCACCTCTGCATTTCGCTTATTGTCAACAACAGGTTAATAAAAAAAAAAAATTGTACTTTTTCAAATATCTGTATCTCTTTTAAATAGTTAACTGGAAACTTAAAGGTTCTCTAAGCGATGCTGGGCCAAAACATTTTTTGTCACATAGATCAAACGTCTCCTCACTATCGGCTAGCTGCCTGTCCCCTAAACACACTGTAAAAAAACGCGGTCTCTGTAGACACCACAGGCTCCACAAACGGCAACAAAAACAATCATGTCTTACCCGGACCACGAAACCTAACAAACAGTGTTCCAGCCAATCACTGGCAAGAAGTATTTGAGGGTGGGTCTGGGGGGTTAGTGCGCGTGCACATGAAGGGTGTGTGTGTGTGAAGGAGAGCAGCGAAGCATCAGAGGGAAGTTTGAAAAATTACCGACACACGACCAAAGAGACGTCGTTCTGAGGAACAAATTAAAAAGAAGAAGGAGTCGGATAAAGAATGTGAGAAGTTCCGAATTTACATCGGTAGCAAAGCTTTTGAACGATGGCGAGAACTCCGGCGGCAGAAGGGCTTCCAGTCCGACATTCAGGTTGCTCTGTTTTTGCTTGACAGGTGGGTAACGTTAAATTGTTTTTTTTTCTTCTAAATTGACGCTTATGTTCGCCAAACCCACACAAGGATATAATTAGCTAGAACTATGCACGTTCACAATTATTTCAGGAAGCACGGAAGGGAGGGGAAGGAAATGAGATGCGGAGGAGGGAGGGTCTAGCTCCGATTTGTTTGAAAATATTCGAACGTCAACACCCAGGATCGCTTTGAGAACCTTTAACTGACCTTAAAAATGGTCATACATATTTTGTTAATGCATAAATTCTCTTCGTGATATATGAACTATATGGGCCTAATGTTTATTGGGTCACAAGGATTTATCGACTTTAAAATGTGGGTCCCCCCAAAAAAAGTTTGGGAAACACTGTCCTAAACGACAAATATGACTTTGCTCTATATAATAAGCACTGCCCCTCAAAAGCCGCCGCAATTTGAGTTTCGCCGGGAAAGCTTGCTCTTGATGGATACGCGAGTAAGGGACCGTTGACTATTGTAATTTGTTATACTGTGGCATTTCTAAGGCCCAAAATGCCCATCTCCAGTTAGTGCAAAATGCTGCCTCAAGATTTCTTTTGAAAAAGAAGAAAAGGGATCACATCAGTCCACTATTAAAGACCCTGCATTGGCTGCCAGTGCAATTTAGAATTCATTTTAAAATTCTTCTATTTGTTTTTAAATCTTTGCACTTTCAAGCACCTGGCTACCTTTCTGACCTGCTGCATCAGTATATCCCCTCTAGAAGCTTAAGATCTGGAGATCAGAATCTTCTTTTAATTCCACATTCGAGTTTTAAACGCAGAGGTGACCGTGCCTTTTCAGTAATCGGTCCGCGCCTCTGGAATGAGTAGCCAGTGGAAATTCGATTGGCTCCGAGTTTGTCCATTTTCAAGTCACTTTTAAAAACCCACTTGTTTTCTCTGGCATATTAGGCATATTAGGATTGTTTTACTGCTTTCTGGTTACCTGATGGAACAGACCCTGCCTGCTTGAAAGTGGACTGTGTTCACTTGATGTTTTTATTTTTATTTTTATGTTATTTTATGTTATTTTTTTTCTTCCTCTGTGTTGTGAAGCACTTTGGTCAGTCTGCGACTGTGTTAAATGTGCTATATAAATAAAGTAAACTTGAAACAAACTTTAAAACTTGTGGAAAGTGCACTTTTTCTGACACATTTGTTCATACACTGTATACAATTTTCAACACTTGACAAGCTATAATCCATTAATGGTGATGGGCGTTCCGTTGCCTAATCTCTGCCTACGGTTTACCAATAACAACCGACTGGGTCATTTGACCAATCGCCGCAGATTCGCGTCACTCAAAGGAGGTGTTTGGGAAAATGAATCGTCGAACGAATCATTTGGGAGGTGTTGAGCAAATCAGGTAAAAATAAATGCATATTATAAGACAAATAAAGTGTTTTTATCCTTGCATGCAAGTTAAACTTTTTTTGGGAACTCCCAAAACAAAAATAGGAATATTTCAAATGCTATGATAGGGGCTCTTTCAAATCCTTGATCCTCACCCAACTATGGCTTTGTAAACTGTATCCATGATGTGGTTTATAATGGACTGTGGTACAGAAACAGTGACAATGTTACACACTCTTGGCTTACTCTGGCTATTCTCTGCTGTCTCAGCCGACGAGATGTTTGTCCCGTTTTAGCAACCGTAGCTTCTTCGAAAGGGAGGGGTGAGCAGTGGGCTGAGCCCTTAGTGCAAACCTGGTGCAAACTTGCAACCGAACCGCTAGATGTCGCTAAAAATCCCACACTGCACCTTTAACACAATGGCTTCAAATTATCTTTTTGGGGGTAATTTCTTGGCCAAATTTTATGTGCGATTAATTTAATTAATTGGCATATGTAATTATTTAGATTCAAAATTGTAATCGCTTGACAGCCCTAATTTAATTATTATTTCATTAAATTGTCTGCATTTGGATCCTCTCTGTCCGCTCTTGGTCTCTCCTTGTCAGATATTATTTTATCACAAAAGAATAAATGATTAGCAAGATTTTAGAAAGGCTGCAAACAAGACACACATGGGAACAATCATGAACTTAATCAGGAATCTACTAAAAAAAAAAAATACAAACGACTACAAAACATGGTGCAAAACAGGAAATAACAAATAATGGTGCATTCAAGTTATCTCATATAGATTGTATTTACGAGTTGAACGCACTTGAACGCCACCACAATGTCCTGAATACCAGTGGGGAGCGCGGGATTTTCACCAATCTTTACGAGTTGGGGGCGTATCGGTGAGAAACATGGCGGAATACAACAATACTTTTTAAGGTATTTAGTAGTGACATTGTCAGGCTTTTCTAAGTAAGCTAATTGCCTGCACAGAATATGATGGCATTATAATATAACAATGTAACATGTAACAATAAAGTTGGCAATGGCTTCATAAATTGATTAAAAACATTGAAAAACAAAGTAGCCTACACCTGATGCACATTTATTTGTTATTCATTTTCTAGAACAAGAGTTTAAGAACCTTGCTGTATTTTTGTGTAATTAATAAAGAAAGTTCTCCGCCATCTTACGCCAAAGAAAGTGACTTGAACACACCTGCCGTCGTAACCAGTACTTCCCACCTCTTATGTATGAACTTACCAGGAGGACTTGAACGCACCGCACCATAAGTCCACACAAGACAGGAATTATGACAGAGATGACCCCCTGAACTGTCAGCGCTGACCTGGAGGCTTCCTGTTATTTAACTTCTGTGTTTCTTCCAGTTCTTTATCAGTTCTACGTTGCATTAAGTTGGTTGTTCTGTTCATGTTCCTGAGATTGTTTTGTGAAGTTTTGAGTTTTTTTTTTTTTAATAAAGTTACTGCACTTAAATCCTGTTTCATCACTGCTGCAACCAGCCTGTGACAGAAAAAAACAAACTACAAAGGAAACATGGTGCAAAACAGGAAATAAAATAAAAGTCCACACAAGACAAGGGGAACACAAGTCAGGAATCATGACAAGCCTATTAAGTATCTAAACTTTAAGTATTTGGTGCTGCGATGAACACCACCACGAAAACAACAATCTGAAAGGCTATTTAAAACATTTAAAGACTGTTCAGAAATAGAAAGTAGCATAGCTGCTTTGTTTACAGGGTTACTGGGGTCACGGCTGCATTTCTGCTGTTCCATAAGAGCTATCTGCTGTCAAAAAGTGAATGTGCATTTTCATTCAGCATATCTCCTTCACTCATTCAACCAATGCTTCTCGTCCGTGTTGGGATTGTTTACATCAGAGTAAGCATGCCTTGATACAACGTACAGCGGTGTTGTGCATTTTAACCGGTTGATGGGAAAAGTATTCTTAAAATGCCTCCTAAAAATCTGAATAATTATTAATAAATAACTATTCACTGTATATTTAAGTGCCTATTATAACAAAGTGCATATTCGTTATCATGATATAACGTACTACCGTATATATGGGCACATGTCTACAGCCTAACAGGTTTTTTTACTCATTTTAAAGCCATTATTCATGCCTTTCCAAATAAGATATTTGGCTTCGGGTCTATATCTACTTAATATAGCAATGTGCAGTTAGCTTTGTAACATACTAAAGCAAACTCTATTGAAATCAATAGTGAGTCGAGTCTCCATAATGTACCTTACGGGGCTCAAACTCCCAGTTGTGTATGACTCTAGCTGGAACGATGGCTGTGTCATTCCAGTGGCAGCTGTTGCAGTAATACTGACCCGTATAATCACACTGTCGTGCCTCATTAGGAATACCCCCTACACAACACAACACAACACAACACAACACAACACAACACACAACATTAGACTTCTTCCTGTGCCAAAAGTAAAGTCTAAATATCCAAGTTATAACTCACGATTTTTTCGTATTCTAAAGCAATCATACAACCCTGAATCTAACACTTCTGACAATAACCACATAAAGAGTTCATCAAACAAAAATTCACATTAAACACATTCGTGTCGTCATCAGAGAAAAACAAAAGAAGCCGTGATGCATGTTTGGAAAAGGCCTCACGCAAAGAGATGGGTGTCCGGCACTCAGTACATCTGTAGTCCTGCTTGTCCAGACCGACCTCAGGACAGATGCTGAGCTCATACTCAGACTGATGGCTGACCTTTGACCTCACACATGGTTTGTTGATAAGATTCATGCACTTGCTATGGCAACGGTAATAACAACCTGGAATGAGAAATGGAAAGCAATTTATGATAGTTTTGAAACCAAACATTAAGTTCTGTTCCCAATCATCACACAGTAAGATCTGATCCATTCATTCTCCAAAATGCTTGTCCTATGTAGAGTTGCGGGGATCCTGAAGTCTATCCCAGAGTCTCGCAGCGAAGGCAGTAAGCAGCAAGATCTGAGTAAGATCTGAATGTGCTGAAGCAATTTTTTAAAAAAAAGTGAATTACTTCACTGAAGATTTGTCCATGTTTTTGTGAACAGTGTACAACAAATCACACTAAGTGAATACACATGACTGAAACAACAAGGAATGGTCCACCCAAAAATGTCTCAATATTAAAAAAAAGTTTCTTTACACACCATCATTCCTTTCCAAACCTGTATGCTATTTTTTTTTCAGTGGACCTCAAATATCAAAATGTTTGAAGAATGAAAATGCAATATGGCAATACACCATTTTTTTAAATTCTAAATGTAATTTCTGGCAAGATACAAGGAGGAAAAAATAAAGATTATGAGTAAACTAATTTACAATTACTTTTTTTACACAAATAGCATCTTAAAATATAGCGGACTAGTCATATGGACTGCATTCATATAGATATTTATGATAGTTCTATTGTTCTTTTGGGTGCTTCACAGTCACTGGGAATTTTAAGCTGTTGTTTTTTTTTTTTTTTTTGGAAAATACCTATATTGGGATATTTTTTTCTTTTGTGTTCTGTTTTGGAAAGATAGTATAATAATAAGTCATGTGTCTTCTTAAAAAAATGTTTGCATTAGGTTCAGATAAGATGGTCTGACCTGTGCAGGTATACCAGGTCTGAATGAGACCCCATATGATGGTGCTACACTTGTCACATGTCTGTTTCACACTCTTGCTCTTCTCCTTTGAGAAGCGATGTTCTAATAGAACCTGCAGGTTTGGCTCATCTTCCTCTGGGTCCTGTTCAAATCCAACAAAACAGTAAACACAAAATTACACAATTTATGTGCTACTAGCCAATAGTTTGGACACACTTAATGAATTTATATTTTTCTTTAACACAAACATCATTTGATCTAAATCAGGCCAAGGATCCCTTTATGGACAGAGAGACATAGCAGGTACCCCATTACATATTCTTTAGGGTAACACAAGCTAAGTTTACATGGACACTTTTTGTTTCAATTGGAATGAAATCATTCTGATTTGGTTTATGGTTAGCATTTAGCATTTATGTAAACCTATGGTTTACATAAATGCTAAATAAATTGATGGGGTTGATGTGCATAATGTTAAAGTTGAGACTTAATAATAATAAAGAAAGTTAATAATAAAGTTATGACTTGCGCACACTGCAAAAGGTTTCCCGCTGTTGGCACATACTAACCACTCTCATACCACTGCTTCTTTTCTTTTTTTTAATAAGCAGTCTTTTTATTTATCAATTTCGAGTCACTTCCGGGAGATGACAGGCACACAAAGCTTTGTGCTGTGCTGCTAATCAAGTGGTAAAAAGGCCTTTCTTGCACCCAAAAAAGATAACTGTGTAGAGAGAGTCCAAAGCAAGACATGGGACAACGTCATCTTGCAATACTTTACACACGATGAATGAAAGGAGAATATTAGATTGACACGACAATAATTAATAACACTACATTAAACAACAACAACAATAACAGTTCATTCCGTGCGTCAAACGTCATTACGCCATTTCTACATCATTGCATATGCGTAGAACGTTAGTTATGGTTTTCAATCTGATAGTGTTTACATGTCCAATCGAATGAATTAGAAAATGTTTAAACTACCCCTCATAATCCAAATTAAAATTCAATCTGATTTGACCTATTAATTCTGATTGACGTGGTTACATGTGACTTTTTTATTCTGACTGTGCTACTAGTCCGATTATACTTGGATTTTTAGGGTCCATATAAACACAGCAAATGTAATGTGTATAGTACCATATAAATGTTGCATATTTTTAGGATGCCTACTTTGTATTATTGTAAAATAATAAGTATGTGTGTGTACATTACATTTTAATTACTGTTTACATTTGAATATAGTAGAGACAACAAACATTTTACTGTGTACAACGAAAGTGTACAACTTTAGATTTGACTGAACTTAGGCCAATTTTCATTAGTTTATTGTTGAAATCAATAGTCTGCAAACCTTTAGTTCCTGTAGTTTGAGCCGAAGGTGGATTAGTTTGACCACTGTGTCCTTCTGTTTCTCAGAATGTTCTGGCAGTTCCAGGATCAGTCTCTTGCACTCCTCTATTGCCTGTTTCAGCTGCTCTGCATCAGACGCCACAAACGAACCCTGTGCAAACATCCACACACTTCAGTGCTCCAAAAAACAAAAAAAAAAAAAAAAACGGATGATCAAATCTTTCTGAAACAATTACTTTATGGGAAGTTTCAATGCTTGAAGGGATAGTTTATAAAAAAAAAAAACAACAACAACAACAACAAAAAAACAATTTTGTCACCATTTACCTTCATGTTGTCCCAATCCTGTATGACAAAAAAAATAAAAAAAACAGATATTGTGAAGAATGTTTCAACTGTTTTGTCTATACAGTGAAAGTCAGGTTTCAAGTTCCAAAAAGGACATAAAGATTTAATATATTACTGCATCGATCAATGCTAAAGTTTTTTTTCTGCTGGCCCAATCGTTTATGACAACATAAACCAGTGAAATTTCCTAATTCCATTTTCTATACCACAACAAAAAATACTAAAAGCAGTAAAAAGACTAATAAAAAGTTAAAACATCATTGAAACAAGTAAACAGTAATACAATTAGAATAAATAAATGCATTACAATACATAACAAAAACAAATACAACAGAACAAAGATATCTTATGTTATACATTTTATTGACAACAAGTCATCTGTGCATGTTTAATTTTTTCATATTTCTTTTTTTTTTTGGTCTTGTAATGTTTAATCAGAATATCAATTGAACTTTCCAGTGAAAATGATAGACTTCTCTCAGGCAACGTATAATTCTGTCAACTGGCCCAAGATTACACTCTTTCACACTGTCTCCGGGCCATTGAGGAGTCCTTATTGTTGAGCCCTACACTGGTAAATTTAAAGCGCTCAGGGAGAAAATTATCTCGTTTTATGGTGAAACTGCAAGCCTTTATTGACTCTCAAATAAAATAAAAACACAAATCAAATACACACATACACACTATAACTGTAATAATATGGCAAACATTCAAGCCCTGTAACAACGTCCGAGTATGGGGTGAAATGAGTAAGTGGGTGTGTGTGTCAACTCGCTGTCTGAGAGATTAGAGAGTGAGAACGCGCAACTGATATTGTGTTTCCTGCGGAAGAGTTTCAGATATTTCAGTATCGAGATGTATCGAAAAATGTATATTTTTGATCAACCAACCAAAGTGGCTAGAAGGAGTGGGTTGGCAGGTGTTAATGTCAAGCCCTGTATATATAGCTCAAATTTAGAAAAAAATGGGGGTGTAGCAAACTAGTTCTATGAAATATTAATATTCAAGACGCTACAGGGGTAGGTAAATTATGATAGAATTTTAATTTTTGGGTGAATTATTTGAAGTCAAGTCAAGGGAGCTTTATTGTTATTCCGCTACATGTAGAGACACAAAGGAGTGAAATGCTGTTCTCTACCACGGTGTTACATATATAAACATACACTGAACAAAATTATAAACGCAACACTTTTGTTTTTACCCCAATTTTTCATGAGCTGAACTCAAAGATCTAAGACTACATAAAAGGTCTATTTCTCTCAAATATTGTTCACTAATCTGTATAAATCTGTGTTAGTCCGGGGACACACACACAAAAAAAGGTTGTTGATTGTGACGTATCCACAAGTTTCCTACGCCCCATGAGGCCTTGCGTCAAAAGTGGGCACGACTTCCGGTTGGAAGTAAACAAAGCGCGATTTGACATGCTTGACACTCGTTCATTCAACAGTTGACAGTCATTCAAGTTATAGCGATCCAAACTAGCTAACGATGTGGGAACACAACCTCAACGAAATTCAAAAGGGTGAAATGACAGTACCTTTACCCTCCGCAGTAGTTGATTGGGAGTATTATAATAACATTATTAATAATCAATACTCATCAAGGCATGGTGACAGACAGTTGTGCGAGCTGACAAACAATTAAAATAAAAAATACACACTTAGTCATTGTGCTTTGGAGTTTATTCAAAATTATAAATGAATGTGCTGCTTGAATACATTAACTGGCACATTTGGTATTCTGTCAACACAGGCTTTGATCCTGAGTTTAGCTGTAACATCAGTAGAGAACAGCCAAACACATGCTGGTAGAGTTTATAGAACATTAAGAATTTAAACAAATGTACACAGGAAGATTCGTCGTCTTTTGGGAGGTGATGGAAACTACAGTGGTTGGCAGGATCAGTCTGACTTCGTTTTCAGCTTATGTTCAAAACAATCCCGTTTAAGCAACTGAATTAGTTTAGTCCGGTTATACATACAACCGCGAACAGCACATGTTGTCCCTGAGCTCCGTAACGACATCTCTCATAAAGATTTGCGTCTTTAAATAGTAAAATAATTCTCCGAAAAACAGCTAGCCTCTTCGCTAACTAACACACAAAATACCATTGGAATGCTACTTCCGCCGCGTCACCGGAAGTTTCACCCACTTTATTTTTTACAGGAGCGCCCCTCGGAAACTTGTGGATACGCCGATCCAGAGGATCCCAAACATACTCAATGGTTAACATGTCGAGTGAGTATGCTGGCCATGCACGAACTGGGATGTTTTCAGCTTCCAGGAATTGTGTAAAGATCCTTGCAACATAGGGCTGTGCATTATCATGCTGCAACATGAGGGGATGGTCGTGGATGAAGAGCACAACAATGGGCCTCAGGAGCTTGTCACGGTATATCTGTGCATTCAAAATGCCATCAATAAAATGCACCCGTGTTCGTTGTCCATAACATACGCCTGCCCATACCATAACCCCACCGCAACCATGGGCCACTCCATTCACAACGTTGACATCAGCAGAGTGCTCACCATACACGCCATAGACGCCATACACACCGTCTGCCATCTGCCCTGTACAGTGAAAACCGGGATTCATCCGTGAAGAGAACACCTCTCCAAAGTGCCAGACGCCACTGCGTCTGCGGTTGTAAGACCGGTTGGATGTACAGCCAAATTCTCTGACACGCCTTTGGAGACGGCTTATGGTAGAGAAATTAACATTCAATTCACGGGCTTCAGCTCTGGTGGACATTCCTGCAGTCAGCAGGAATACAATACCCCAATACAGTAAAACTGCACATTTTAGAGTGGCCTTTTATTGTGGCCAGCCTAAGGCCGGAGACACACTGGCTGCGTGCATGCTAGAAATAGAATCAATGCTTATTTTTCACATGACTGTTTACTCATGTTTAACTAATGATTATTAGCGTGTAGTTATTCTAAAGTGTTTCCATAGTTTCTTGTTGAATCCAGCATTGAATTTGTGGAGATTCTGGAAGCTGTGTTCCATAAAATGCGACTGTAATTTTCAGGAACATAATCAAACATAAAATGTAGCCATTGGTGAGGAACTACAACGTCCGTGGGAAGCCCGAACACAGAAGACCAACAGCTGGCTGAAAATAACACACTTTTGATGAGTCGCAGAAATATGGCCATGCCCTTTTTTGCATATTCCGGAGGAAGGGTTGATGTAAATTTACGGGTTAGTTACGTATAAAACCCGGGAAGTATCTAGTAGTTCCATTCGAGTCGTTTTTGTAGGCATCAAATATCCTGATTTTAAAAAGACGATATCTCTGCTTACACTGAACTTTCAGCGCTGCAACTTTGCACATACTATTCATGCACCAACAGCAACATTACACACTATTTAAAATGAAAAAAGTGAAATCGCAATCGACCACCCCTTTAATATTCACTATATTACTGATTTTATTACTGCACAGACATTGGATGAGATTTCAACTTAGCTGGATGATGAAATCACTATTTTCTGAGCTGTTTTTAGCTGAAATCAATTAACATTGAACTGATTAATGACTGTTAACAATTGTGTTTTTAGAGCTGCTTTTTAGAGCAGCAGATTTGAATCCTGTTTGTTTTTCATTAGTAAATCGTTATTTTCCTGTTTATCACTGTACAGCTGCTTTGAAACAATCTGTATTGTATAAAGTGCCATTGTCATGATTATGTTCAGTTAGTTTCACTTTCGTGGACTTCTCATTTGTTTATCATCTGTTTCCTTTGCTCTAGATTTGTTCAGATATTCTGCTGCACTATTTGTCGGAGCACTGCCCACAAGGCTATGGCTCTGACTTGGTTGTAATTTGTAACCCTTTCTCCTAGAAATAAAATTCTTAGTTTTTCTGATTATGATTTTCATGCTTATCACATTCAATGTCTTGCATTAAGATTTTCAGTTTAAAATGTAGTGTTTTATGGTATTTTTCTCCTTCAAATTTTGCCCGATTATCACCAAAACCTGCACATTAGACAGAGCTGCATATATAGAGCTGACCTTATAGTTTTGGCTTCTTATAAAATTTACAGTAAAACAGATTTAAAAATCAGATGAGAAGTTATATATTTGCAATTCATCTCTCTGTCGAAACAAAACTTGGTTGATGACAAAAATTTGGTGACAGCACCAGCAACAGGTAATTTATTTTATACCAAAATAATAAATCAGATGTGCGTATACCAGTGCAGTCGAGTTAGAACAGTCAGCCTTTTATATAAATAGATAACATAAGTGACATTTCTCTCATGTAACAGTTCTAGAATCTCAATCTACTGACAGCTTTGTCAAAAATAATGCATTTTTAAGATTTATTAAGTTTTAATAAGTGCTCACTTCACAGGAATGTTGTGTACATTGTATTCAATTGTTTAAATTGTATTCAATAATGACATTTCAGTGGAGTATAAAGCAAGTAGTATATTCAAATCACTTTCTCACACACCCCTCGCCAGACCGGAAAGTGTGGAGGTACTGGTCTTCTCATCTTAAACGATTTGAAATTTTATCCTTTACCACCTCTGTGTGACAACAGCTCATTTGAACTCATTTGAATCACATTCAATAGGCTTTATGCACAACTTACTTGCGCATTCTCTGTAAAACAGGTCGCATCGCTTCCGGTACAGGTCTTTTGTATGTGCTTCATGAAATTTTTTGCGGTTTTACTCAAGATAACTTAAAAGGAGCGAGCAAAGATTAGCATAAACAATATCCCTCACATGTGCAGATTGATATTTAAACGTTTTATATTTTTTATTCTTCACAGTAACGTTTAGATATTTAAATGGAATAAAACGCCAATAACAAAGTGATCTAGTTAGGTTAGCTGATTACCTTAAATATCCATAGATATCTTAGTCAGTTCTTATGGCCTTTAACACTTTCTCTGACAAGCGGATGCGATGAGACCCGTTTTCCGGTTTGGTCACATGACGCATGGCATAAAACCTATTTCCATCATTAGGCCTAT